CGGGGAATTCCTAACGATGCGCGAGAGCTGTCCCTATGAAATACACATGCAGCTTGCCGAGCTTTGATGTCGTTCAAAGGACTGAGTTGACCCGGGCAGAGGGGGGAGCTATCTTGATTTGTTCGGAGCATGGCCCGAGATTCTTGTGCAGTTGCGCGAAGGGCGATGAGGCACACAGAACTTATGAGCCGTGAAGTGTGTTCATTTGCGAATCCCAAAGCGCTCGCAAGAACAGCTGAGGCGTTTATCACGCCACCAAAGAGCTTGGGGATCTATGCACCAATGTTACGCCTCTTGGCCGCAACCACAATGGTCCTGGCTTGCAGTCAGCCTCCGAATCAGCCGTGCTGACTGCCTTCGATACGTATCGAACGGCCTGAACGCCTTTCGCTCTGTGGGAGCTGGAAGATGTTTCTGGGCCAAAATCCTCAAACAAATACACTCGACTGTACGTGGTAAGGAGGGATCCAGCCTTTGGAGGTTTGTCTAGATTGGCCCCCTGACTCTTCGCCAGTTGCGGGCAACTCTTTTGGCTTGACAGGTACCTTTGGCATTTTGGCGAGCCAACCCTTCGCTATGCAACCTCCGAGCTCACATGGGGCCCAACGAAACCCACTCCGCCCATCTCGCACTTTAGGCCTATCGGACCTTGAGCCACTACCCGAAAGCTCGGGGTAGCTAATAGAAATGTAGCAGACTCCCAGAGGAGCGCCCAGCGACATGGCAACGCGGTCCGAAGAGGGGCACCTCACATGGTCGGCAGACTCCCACACAGTCAGAGTCCCTTGCATTGCGGCGAAGCACAACCAGCATTGGCCTATGTGGGTGCCAATGCTATGGAATGTGGGCGTTTCATTGTCCTTGAGACGAAGCCCATGACCCCAATGTTCTTCAGCCCGTCCCCAAAGCGTGGGAACCAGGCCTCGTTGGAATGCTGCCTGAGGTGCGGAGTCAACGCTGGCTGCTATGCGGGCACTTGCCGCTGTTTGACTGGCTGCTCGGCTGGAAGGAGTACGTCGTGCTCGTAGGCAGCTGTCTATCATTGCTTCGTCACGTCGTGTTGGACTGGGCGTCCATGCGATTTGCAGACTGGTAAGAGCCTGAATGTAAATATGTTGGAGCCCTGCCTGATGTGGCTGGCGACAAACGGCGGCACGTGCGGAGCATGACCTGTTCGAGAGCATCTTGGCGTTAGCTTGCCAAACCGCGGCATGCAAGCCCGATGGCACCTTGCCCCGCTCAGGCTTCTACCCTGCACAAGGCGCTCGCCTGAGCTGTCTTGAGGGGGGCTTCTGTTGGCTAAACCCGATTCTGCACCCAGAACTTGGAGTCATAGCGACCGGGATAATGCCGGGCTCGAACTTCCATGGCCGGAACTGGACGGTCGAGATATCTGACAGGCTTGGGCCTGGTTTCCTGCGAACTTTGCACCCCCACCGGCCGTGTGGTTTGGGCGTGCCTGAAAATTCAAGGACCCAGATTCGCCTCGTCTTGTTCAGAAGGAAGTTCAGCTCCTTCCCCCCCGCCCCGCCCATTTTTCTCATTTTTGAGCCACCTGGTAACCCCAGGCGAATTCAGTTGCGGGCCACTCGTCACCGAGAGCGGCTGTGCGCCTTGGATGCGAGCGCATCTCTCTTCTCGAACCGCGACGCAGTTTTGTTTCAGCCATTGCATGCGAATCATTTCATTCGAACTCGATTCGAATGAGTGGGATCGATGGCGCACATGGGAACCCTTTTTGGGCGCCCACCCCAAAACTACTCGAGCCGAGTGACATGGCTCGGAGCGCCCGAGCCGGGCGTTTCTCAGGTGTGCAAGACCATTTGGGAGAGCCGTGCTCGTCCCTGCCTCGTAGACCAAAGCGAGAGATGGCGTTTTGGCGACGGTGAAACAACAGAATTGATCTGCCAGTCTTGGGGCAAACTATGTGGATGGACAAACTCCTGGTAGTGCATCCCAGTATTGTAGGGTTTCATCCATCTCAGTTGGTAAGTGGATTTCGTCCATCCGTCCATCCACATGGTCGCTTTGGTCGGGAAGGCTCCCATGGGCCCAGGGAATCAGGCGGCCCTCAGGGGGCCATCTGACGGTGACGCTCCCTTCAGAAGCTGTGCAGGTCGCTTCTTCGGCGCCTCCTACGCCGGCTGCCCCAGGTGGAGCATGTGCAAGGCAAAGCTCGGGTCCATCCGAGGTCTAAGGGAGTCAAGTACAAGAATGATACGGAACCCTCTTGGAATGGTGTGAAACACTCACTCTGGACCGTCGCTTCTCATGGCTCTCGCTGCATTCAGGGGCTGTCCATTTGCCGAAGCGGTTTTGGAGCCTCTGTGCCGACCCATGGATCAGCCAAAGGGAGCAGGAAGTTTTGCGAGGTTTTCCAGGGAACAGGCAACAGGATCAATTCAATGCAAGTCTTCATGCTGGACAGGGCCTTTGTCCTGTCCTCGCAGTAGAAGCTTGTTTACGAGTTTCAACACTGCAATGTGGCATCTTGCGACTTTGCGTATTGTGGGCAATGCTGCTGGCGTTCTTGTTTTTGAGCAATAGTTAGTTTACTTGCGGCTTGTGTCACGAAGTTGAGGTTGACCCTCTCGTCACTTCCCTATCATCATACCGGATTCTTCATTGAACAAAACGGCCATTCATAAAACACAGTTGGGATTGAAGCGTGGGGCTTTCTTTGTGTTTGCACATATTACGGCTAGCATATTTCGGCCAGACTGGGAACATTGGAACACACGCTCGAGCGATAGACATGTCTGAGCTGGGGGAAGAGATTGAGAAGGCGTGGTTCTGTGCGCGCCTTGCTGAAGTAGCCAGGTGTATGGCTCTTGCAGCTTTTTGGCACTGATATTTGCCCAGGTCAAAAATCACCGACATGTTGCAAAAGGGTCCAGACCATTCATGTGTTCCTCGTGTCAGAGCAAAGGACGCCTCGCATTTGGCACGAGTCCGCCAGGTGGATACGGCGCATCCCAGCTATAGCCTCTGCCGGAAAAGGCTGCCGACCAAGGGCTTGTTCTTCAAGTCGCCGCGGAGCAAAGACAGGCAGGGCGTGTAGGCCGCATTTGGGTCAGTGCGCCAAAGCAGGAAAACACGAGGCGTGCATGAACATGACGCGTGAATCATTGAACCAGGCCGCTAGGTATCTTGTCGCGCAAGAGATTGCAACGGGTTTGATGATTGAGCACCATCGTAGTGGAGAGCAGGGCATTAATGGTGTAAAGTTGTGAGCGCTTTGGTCCTCTAGTTCCGGACAGATCAACCGACCGGCAGACTGAAGATCTATAGACTACTGGCACCCCGACAGACTTGCAGATAACAGATTGTTGCTGGGCCCTTTGGATGGCAACCGACTAACTGTTGCGCATCCAGCTCTTACTCATCCCGGAGTAAGATGGGTTCCAACACCCCCAAACCACTACCCTCAACGGAAATTGGGGTATACACCCTTTGTGTAGTGGCTATATAGTGGTTGTATATCCCGTGGAAACCATGTTAGAGTGCAGCTGAGCGGTCAGCTCAGCTTTTGCGCTCACACAGCGCGCACGCGCCAGGTGCATGTTCCAAGCGGCTCAGCTGCACGAGGGAGGGGTTCTTTTGTGGGGACTGCGCGTGACTAGCGCCACGTCCTCGAGGTTTTCACGTCCCAAGCAGGTTGTTTGAAGTTCTCAACAACTTCAATTCGGCTCATAGGGGAGGTCGCACATTTCCGCAGGTGTGCCAGATGTTACATTCTGTCAGAGTTTTCGGGTCAAAGCTCAACCCTTTGAACAGTGATGAGCCTTCTAGGGATGTTCATCCGACCAACGCCAACAAGGGGTTGCTTTTGCATTTGCTGCTCCTCCAGTCACTGAGGTGACACAATTCCTGTATGCCAGCTAGTTTGGGCAACCTTCAAAAGGGATGACGTCCTTTCTACTCACTACGTTGTTGGCACCAAAGCAGGGCAGATATGTGGGCACAACTCGCTTCTTCAGTTGATGGGCAGTGTTCTCACTGCTGGGACCTTTGAAGTCTGCCCGAGGACCTCAACGCCAAGCGAAGGGCCCTGCCTGTCGAGATGGCTGAAACTCGACCTGTCGTGAAGTGAATTGCCGGAGGTCGGTCGCGCGAGGAGAAAAAGGCAGCGACAGGGATGCGAAGTGCGGCATGCGCGCAGAAGGGACGTTTTGTTTGAGGTTGTGTCCGTTTTTCCCTGACCATCTGACATTTTCCATGCCTGGGATGTCTGAGACGACCCCTGGTTACTGCCTTGTGTCCTTTTTGGGTGATCAGCGGATTAATGGGGAACATGCAAGGAATCCACCAGTATTCCACTGGCACATGTCTGAGAATCAGGGTTTCCTTTTCATCCCTTCAGCGTGGAAACTCCAGTTGCCTCCTTTTTGCAGTGGTTTCTGGACCTGTTTGCGATCAAACATGTTCGCTTCAGCTAGGGCAAAAGGGGAAGCTGGCGATTCCTGCAACGTTTTGAGATGGGATTTGGCGCCTCTGCAATCATCTCTGGGCGTGCGTCATGTTGAGGGTACCCAATAGCAGGCTTGGTGAGGGAAACGAAACCAAAAGGACAAAAATCATTTTGGGGTCCCCCATTTTGACACATGGCCATGGGTCAAAAATATGCACCCAAAATGGGGTCCCCTGGTGGCTTAATTTTGACCCATACCCACACCTACTGTGGATGGACGAAATCCATTTCGCACCACCTCATAATTTTTGGAATGATGATTGCCCAACGGAAATACCAACAACCAATGGGTTCAACCATGGTTTCAAAGTGGTGCGAACGGATTTTGTCCATCCACAGTAGTGAAGATCGGGGAGCCAGAGCGTTTGGAGCTCATTTTGGAGTGGATGAACATCCATTTGCCACCTATTTTGATGTTCACCCGGGGTTTCTTTGGGTTTTGACCCGCCACGTAGCTGTCAGCCCCACCTCGGCCAGGCCACTCGCGTGGGTCGCGTGGGTCGCGCCGACGGGAAGCCGACGGCCCGAGGCCCGGGCCAGCTGCCGCGCCGCCCTGGACCTGGGCTGTGCGAAGGGCGCCGTGGCGCGGCTGGACGCCCTGCTGTGGGCAGGCGGGGCCCGATCTTCGGCGATGGGCGCCCCGATTTTTTGTCTGGGCTGGGGGGCGAAACGATATTTATCCATAGATTAGGGGCCAGAAGCAAGTCAGGTAAACCTCACCTGGTTTGGATTGTTCGGGGTGGTCTCCCCATTTTTTGGCACAGAACATTTCATAATTTCATCCTGAAATTTTGAATTTTCATTATTTTTGGATGAATTAGTTTTCTCAGATAATAACATTTCCTCTGTTTGTCTCATTTCTTCCATTTTGAACGTTTTTTTTCTTCTTCTTTCTATTATTAGTTTTATTGACATTATCATTAATTTCTGTTTTGTTATGGATTATTATTCATGGTATTAGTCCAGTAGTTCCTTCAGAACCAAAAAACCAACACATAATCCCAAAGAATCATCAACTAATACTACTATTAATAGTTTAGATCTTAACAACCTAACAAACGATGAATAATACATTAGTCGTGATAAAGAAGTTTCAACTGAAGGCTCTGCAGATGATAATGATGATACATTACCTCTACACAATGATTCATCTATTCAAATATCAAATCAAGATTCAACAACCTGGTATTTTTGTTAAAAAAAAGGATGGAGGTCAGTGATAACCTTCCATGGTAAATTTGACAAAAGGATGGAGGTCAGTGATAACATTCCATGGTAAATTTTGGGAAAAAGGATGGAGGTCAGTGACAACCTTCCATGGTAAATTTGAAAAAAAGGATGGAGGTCAGGGTTCAAATCACCAAACCACCAATCTATGCCATCAATCAGGAGAGGCTGAAGTATGTTGACCCATCCCCCCCAAGTACGTGAGAGGCATGTGCTTTTCGAGTGTAAAGACAAATACCAGGGCGGTGAGAGGCAAGATGTGCATCCATCACCAAACATGGAAGTGTACCCGTCTAGCGGCAAACGGTTTGGCAGCTGCTTACTGCTCGCGCTTTGCGCAGTGACGGTGCTTGAATCAGTGCATTCAACTCAAAACGAAAACCAAATCATGCTGCATACATTATGTTAGTGTATGTGTAGCCAAAACATGTGTGGAGGGCCTGGTCATTCATTGCTGCTGCTGTCAGTCACTGCGGTTTGGTGGTGTCATTTGCTGCTGCTGCTCCCAGTTTTTGCTGCTGCTGAGGTATAGTCAGTTTTCCAGTTTCTCTGGCAAGGCACCGTGTTGTGTGGACTTTTGTATGCCTCCAAAGCTCAAGTTGATGACCCCTAGCCACAGGTCCCTTCAACCACTTCAGCCCGCAGGGAGTTGACTCCAGGTGCTGACGTGAACTCCGTTGGCCGCGGATCTGAGACGGCCCTCCACATCGTGGCACGCAGCTTGGGCCAAGGTTGGGTCTTCAGCTCGTTCTTTTCTTTCTTTTTTTTTGGGGGGGGTGTTAAAGGGAAGCCCAAAAGAAAAGCCACCAATCTTCGGGGTTCCCTATGACCCTCAAAATGGATCCTTTTGGGAAGCCAACAGGAAAGATAAGCAACCTTTTTAGGTTCCCCTTGGAGACGAACCTAATCTTCTGGGGTCATGTGGGCCAAGAGGCTGTTGATTCGATGCGCGAGGGAATGAAGAGCAAACAATCAGCTGACAATACGTAAGTGACGAACAAGTGAGCATTTCAGCCGATCGCTGCTTGCCTCTTGAACGGTCTTTGCTCGCAAAAGTCATAGAGCTAAGGAGGCTGGTGGTTGTTTTGGTCCTCCAATATCAGCTTGCAAACAGACGTGGCCACGCCAACCTGGAGGATCAGCAAACATGTCTTTCTTTGCAGTCACCTTGAGCGTTGCGGCGGACGCTGGGAGTTGTGTAGATCGGTTCCAAGGTTGCGATCACGGGATCTCGAAGAGAGCGCTAGCTGGTGAGATCAGTAGAAACCATAACCCGAAGAAACTTGGGGACAGGCCAAAGCCATGGTTCGAGCGCAATGAAATCTGAGGAACGCTGCAGCTGCTTTTGCAGGAGAGCGTAGGATTGGCCATGCGTTTGGTGGCATGAGGAAGTCGAATTCCCAGACGCCGCCGGAAGTCGGACCCATGCGATTGGACTGTGCCAGGAGTCCCGGCGCTACGCAGTACAACATTTGGCTTCGGTGCGGCATGAGCTGCAGGACAAGGGGTAACACCGGGACGTGCAAAATTGTCTCTCGGTGCACTTGCTTGTACCGAGATGGAACCTTGATGAAGGTGGCCCTCAAACCGAGAGGAGAGTTAGGGAGAGAGAGAGGGAGAGAGAGAGGGGAACCAAACAGTAGCAGAAAACAACGCCCAGAGCGTAGTGGGATTCAATGGCGAATGCTGGTTGTCGTTTCAATGGAAGCGGCATACCCTAATCTCCAAATTGGCACGACCCAATTTGAACATCGTGAGGAGCGTGTTTTCTCCCTTCTGCAAAGAACTGCAAACCAGTTGTTTTTTTGGGTAAATAATCAGGGTGATTCGTGAAAAACAGTATTGAGAAGGGATGATTGCAAGTACGCCACAGTGTCTTGCTACTGGTAGGAGTATCAACTTGACGCATCTAACAAAGGAAGGATCAGGCATGGTTTTGCCTCGAGGCTCAAGTTTTCGGCCACGGCTCTGCTGGACTTTATGTGGCTGTTGTGCCTGTATGGTCGCTACCTTGGCCCGATGCACTAGGTACGGAAATGATTGGGGTCTCTTGACTGACTCTGCATTTTAGCCTTCTTTGGATTCGCTTTCCTTTGGCTTAGCCTTGTTCCCTGAAAAAGTTTCTCGATTTGTCCCCTAAGGACTGTCACATTCATTCACAATCAGGCTGATCATGGGGGCTGATCATGGGGCGACTGTGACAGCTTTTTGACTGCAGCTTTCAGCGTTACCATCAAGGTTCTAGCCAACCTCTCAAGTTGAAGGGGTTTTTATATCACGATTGTTTCCCGCTCAAGGAGATCCAGGTGTTGGTTGTTCAAGCAGTTGGGTATGTGTCAAAATGGGGGGGGACCCTGAAAATGGTGGTTTTCCTTTCTGGTTTTCCCTTTTCACCAAGGTGAAACACGTAGCCTCCAAAAAGCGCACAATCCCAGTGGTTGCAACCAGGACACAGTCTCGGAGCTTCGCCAGCTCTACCACGACCTCGTTGCACGGGGCGCGCTTGCACTTGTTGGGGCGAGGGCGAGGGTCCAAAGTGTCAAAATGCGTGTGTGGCTCAAAAAGAATCAGCTGGGGTTACGCAGGTTTTGGTGAACTTTTCCATTTGCCAGGGTTCCATTTCGGACCCCAATTTTGAGCCGCACCCAAACCGGGGACCCTCCCCAAATCGTGGTTTCGGTTTGGTTTCCCCTGTAAAAACAACAGGGGCTCCCAAAAACACACACCCTGAAGCGAGGCTGCTTTGAGGTTTGAGGTTGATCCGCGTAGGCAAGTCAGGCATCTCACACTTCTTTGATCTAGCTTGTTGCATCGTTTTCTTTCCAGCTTTTGTCTGTGCCTGTGGTAAAGCCCAACAAAAAGGCAAGATTCGATCGTGTAGGTTTTTTGGAGCATGAACGCGGTCGAGCTAGTCGATTTCGGCACTGGTCATAATACATGCTGAACGCGGGCAATCTTATCCTCCAACATGTGGGTGTCTGTTTTTCAAGCTGCTCTTCTCTAAAGGGAAGCCAGACGGAAACCAACCATTTCGTGCATTCTCCTATTTTGAGAAACACCAAATATCGCTGGTTTGCGCGTCCCCAGGTTCACTGTCTAGCTATGGCGGGGCCTGAGAGACTCACGGACCTGCCCGATGAACAGCAAACTTTCTCAGGCGCGGATGCAGGCATGCTCGACAGGGAGGGCCTCACCGCTGTGGAGAGGCGGGTGAAGCATCGGCGGAGGCTTGCAGAACACGGGCTTGGTTGCTTGACTGCCTGGTTTTGTTCTTGAACGTGCATGTTCCGGCTTTCCCTCGGGGCAGAGGAAACTTGGAGCGCGCCCTTGATCGCTTTTGCGCGTGGCCAGAGCTGATTGACCTGCAGCCGTTTCCATATTCCTTGGGCGCTGGCAAGAGCGGATGACTAAGCCCGAGCCACAAGATGAAGCCTCTCAACTTTCGTAGGTCCGACATGTGTGAAAAAACCAGAGGGCGCCCTTTCCATGGCCACTTTTTCTTAATTAGAATTTCTCGTTTCCCTTTACAACCAGACATATCGCGTGCAAAAGCGACCTTTTGTCCCTTTAAAACCCACTCCACATCGCAAAATAAACCGAAGTCCATATCGCATGCAAGGCAATCAAGGCCCGGATGCCATGGCGGCCGCTGCGCAAGACCTCTCACAGGCGCAGCACTGCGACCTGAGAAAGCACTTTTTGTTCCGACCAACATACTTGTTTCACACCTCTCTACATGTTACATATATACATATGTGACGTGTATATATATATATATATATATGTATCATGGTCATCTTTTTCCCCAACAGCTGAAAGCTTTGGGGTCTCAGCCCAGATAGGCTCCGGGGTGGTCCGGGGCGGCCCTGAGGTAAGGTTCCACGAGGGTTCCACCAGGGTTCCACGAGGGTTCCACAAGGTTCTGCGAGGGTTGCAGGGTGGTGCGAGCACTAAAAAGAGCACCGCATGCTGTTGGGGATATCACCTGAGCTTTTTCTTAATATATACACGGCGCCCCTACGCCCTAGGTTACCCACTTCGATGTCGCAAAAAACACCACTCATTGGTGCCCTATCTCTCAATGCTTGGAGGCCTAACCACTCATTTGTGCTTACACATCAGGTCTTTCCATTTGGGCTCTTTCTCTCAAGTACCCCTGAACAAGTTTTTGGCACAGGACCCACGCAAAACATTTTCAAGATCTTTGCATGATCTCTTCACACCCTGCACAGTTCCAACATGAGTGTGATCCCGAATAATCGTTGCATACATTGCGCACCGCACCACAGCTAAGTCCGCAGGGGCTTCGCATTTGATGTTGCACATTTGAGCTTTGCCACAGCAGCGATCCTACACACCCAAAGTCCCCACAAGGTTCGCGAATGCTCCACATTTCCAGCATGCCGCGCGTAACAGCCAAAGTCGGCTGAGCATCCGCATTGGCTTTGCACAAATCACACCGTGCCATGGCAACCCAAAACCGCAGAGAACTCGCTTCCGAGGTGAAACAATTGCACCGCGCCACAGCAAGAGCGCTCAGACGAACCCAACGTCCGCAGGGAGTTCACAAAGCCAAGGTTCACCAAACTCGTACGACACACCAAAAGCACGCTTCAGAAACAGCAGTCCGCGCGGTCCCTGCTAATGCGGGTGGATCCTCTGCATCCATAAGAACCTCTTAGTGTAAACAAACACTGTCTCGGGATCGCTCTATTGAGCGCTTTGAAGCTCCGTGGGACCAGGACTGCTTTAACTCTTAGTCCCCCTGATTTCCCAACACCGAAAAACCCAAATATTAAGAACCAAGAGTGTGCTCAGACACCTTTCCGGTACTGCATTGCGTAGCGTTGGCGCATCCAATCCTTCTAGCTGGAGAGCCGGTGTTCGCTTGAGATGCGCAAGCCTGCGAACAAAGCATGTTGAAGCTTTTGGTCTTTTCAAACATGTGCGCATGTGCACATTTGCAATGTTTATGATTAGCTTCAAACAGTTAGAACATTATGTTTAGCCAGGGACAGTGCAGGGCCAAATAGACAATTCATTTCGATGATTGGGACACATAATATCAAAGAGTAATCAGATAGAATATCGCAGACTGAACTTGGACACCAACCTCTTGATTATTCTACGTGGTTGGTGTTGAGAGTAGGATTGTGAGTGGCTGGTAGCAGCACAACATTTTGGGAGCCAGTGACAAAAGCCAATGGAATATTCTATCTGAGTCTCTTATTCTCCGCTCTGCTGGTATGGCCCCGAGAGTTCTGGCGTGCATGCAAGAGTTGTATCCGCATCTTGTCCTTCCTGTGCCTTGTGATTCTGCTTTTCTTTTTTAACCAGCGTCCTGCCGTTGAACGCGCTTTCATGTCAGGAAGTTGTGTTTGAATCAGCCACCATCAGCAGTCCTTGTCAGACATCAAGCTGCAGGTTACTTGCCGTGAACCGCCATGGCTTTGATCCAAGGCACCGTGCATCCTTTTTGTTGTTGTTGCAAGCTTTGGTTCCAGCACCGGCTTCCCGGTGGTCCATGGTCCATTTCTGGAATTGCTGTTCCCAAGAAGTAAGCTGTCGCAAAAAGGTGTCGGAAGGGTCAGTCTCATCTGGCCGGCGCACTTGTGCCCAGATTTACAGGCATGGAACCCAACCTCAAGATGCTTTCTGGGTATCTCCTGATTTGTGGGGACTTTGACCGTGCGTAAGAACCGCATTCACATTGATTGCAAATGGGTTGCCTCCCCCCGCAGTTGACACGTTTCGCCATGGCCAACGCCCTTCTCGGAACATGACGGGGTTAAAGTTTTTGTTTGTTTCCTGAGCCGTTTTGGGCCCCAGTTGTTTGCAGAGCATCACTTGCTGCTGCTCAGCAGAAAAATGGGGTGAATGACCCCTAGAAACAAACAAAACCCTTGTGGTTTCCTTTCAGGGGTGACCCCCATAAACCATCCCTCATGGTTTCCTTTAAGGGAATCTCCCTTCCGCTTTTCCTTGCCAAACCCCTGGGCTGGCTGCCTGGCTGCCTGGTGGTTTGTTTCCCTCCGACCGCAGGAGTTCGAAGCGCTCCTCACCCAGCAGCGGAACGACCTGCAGCGGGTCTTCTCGCGCCTGGAGGCGCGAACGGGGCCCCGAATGCAGCGACCAGTGCCATGGGTTTAGTCGGAAAAAAACAAACAAACAAAAACCAACTGATTTGGACGCAACCAAGAAACTCAGCCGGAGATAGAACTTTTTGGCCACAGCAAGGAGGAATGTGCCTTGGAGGTGCCCATCTTGGGGGTGAGGGAACCTCAACATCGTGGGTTCCTTGCAAAGGCACACCGCGCATAACTGACTCCCGTCTCTCGTGTTCAAAACCATGTTTTCGATGGGACGAGGGCTCCAACAAAAATGAGCAGTGGAAACGGGGTTTTGCCACAACGAATCAGAGCGCCTTTCAGCAAATTGCCGCATGTGGTTTTTGGCCCAAAAGGTCAAGACAATGTCTTGAACGCATTCCCAATGCCCGTTGATATCTTGCTCAATCAGCATGAGGTGAGTGTCGCAGCTGTGGTACCTCAATACGGGGTAAGTTCTTGGTGCATGCCGACGGGCAACAACAGCTCTCCATGGGTCGCACCGATTCTCAAAAGCCAAGAGAGGCCTGTATTTTTGGGAGCTGATCACATTCGGCCAGAATTTCTGGTAGTCTATTGCCCTTTTGGTCACTAGGCACTAGTTCTCCCCCCAAAACCAGACGCACAAATTCTCCCATTTCCCTTAGGAGAAATATGAGTTATTTTGTTCTTTTCGTGGGCGTCCATTCTTCTGGCTGGTTTTTTAACAAGAAAACGCCCGTTGCGCGCCCATGTTTTGGGCCGTTGCTGATTCCTATGGCTGCAGCTCAGGACTTGGTGCGTGCGCGGCCGCCCACGCCGCCGCCGCGGGCGCGGACATATGCCTCCCCGCCGACGCCCTCCCCACCGACGCCCTCCCAGTCGGCGCCCTCCCCGCCCTCGCCCCCGCGGAGTGTCTTGAGCGCTCCGCGGCCGCCGAGACTTTCCACCACGAGTCTTGGCAAGCAGAAGGGGAGTCCCTTTGGTTTTCAAGCGAGATCCTTGGTATTTGCCCTCTAAGACACATGACACAAGATCTTTTTGAACAAGCCTTGCGGTTTTTCCCAGAAAGAACATCAGGGGAAGCTCACTTGAGGCCCCAAAGGGCGGGGGTGTACCATTTTTTGAGGCTATCTTGTTTTGGGCTGTCTTACAGGAATCCACAATTGACACCCCGTATTTGGGGGACACATACCCAGGCTCCAAGAGTTGGGTGAAAGACGGCGCAGCTCGAACCACATTTGGTTTAGCAATTCCCGTTACCGGCACAAATGGGATTGTGCCATGTCCTTTTTTATACTCTCTTTTTTCTTTCCCCGACTTGTAGAAGGATTTACGTCCTACCACTTTCACCCGGTGTCTTCTCGTTTTCTGTTTAGAAGGCTTTTAGCCAGGGCTCACCGAAGCACGCAGGATGTCCGCGCCGTCGCCAACGTCGCCCCGGCTGCCCGGCTCTGTCGACGAGCCAAAGGAGCGGACAGGAAGGCGGGGCATCCGATCCGTCCGATCCGTCAGGTCCGCCAGGTCCGCCAGGTCCGCCAGGTCTGCCAGGTCCGTCGGATCCGTCGGATCCGTCGGATGAGCAATGAGCTCGGCGAAGGCCTGAGGCCGACGTGTTGTGTGGCGTTGCATTCCAGGCAGACGAGCGCTGGCAGCATCAGCCAGGAGGATGGGCGGATGTGTTTGCGAAGGGAGAGACACCGTGAATGAGTCGTATGAGCCGGGAGATTCTTTGATCTTTCACATAGAACCCTGCCATTTGCAAGGAGCTCCCCCCAATCTTTCATGCATGATCGCGCCTGGAGAGTCGGCGACCCATTGGGCCGAGGCTGTTCACATGCTCCATGATTGCAGACCCCAGGGGAAAGCGGGTGGGCCTGGTGCCATTTGCCCCTGAAGCAAAAGTGGACATGTAGCCCCAAGCTCACTTTGCCTGAACTATGCCCCTCCTGTGAACTTGCCCCCTATCCTTCTTCTGGGACACATGCATGCAAAGGCCAAACGCGATTTTGCTTGGAGGATGAACCACTTGGCGTCTTGTTATGACATGATTCAGCGCCGCAAGTTGTTGGTTTGACCGGCAAGAGGCGGCCTCTCCACATTGCTTATGAACATACTGG